TAAGAAAGAGTTTTATATAAAGGGTAAGTGCACATCAAGAAAACATCCCAACCCAGTGCTGCCCAAACCCACAAGTCCAACATTAGCCCATATGTTCGACACCAATTCACAAAGTCCTCCTCCATCTCACAAAACACACGCAATGATGCGGACTACAGGAGGAAAGCGGAATCAGTGAACATGTAAGCATTTCAGCGCTGGCAGGGGTCTCCACACGGCTGCACCAGCACCCAGGGCTGCATCTGGGTAGGTCCATGTGGCTTCTCCTCAGGGATGCCTTGCAGGAAGTGAGCCTTGCCAGCTGAAGCATGGAACTGGCTAAGGCAGCTGCACCCTGGTCCGATCATCAGAAAGCAAGAGACGCAAAAACCAGAAGGGTGAGATTCACAGAGCCATTTATCTCTCTGCCCTTCAATTAACCCCACGTGTTTACTGGCCGGGTTGGTACAATAAACTTTTAACTATCTCAGGGCTCTTAAAGCTCTTATAACAAACCCTACATCAATTTTATCAAACGCATTTGTACATATGTTGCCAACATCCTTTTCAAAACATTTTTTATTTACTTGAGCCATGGTATCTCCCTCCCTCACCCACTCACCCTTATGGACCCCTGACAAATGATGCTATCATTATTTTCGCATCTTACACTGTCCGCTGCCTTCCTTCGCCTACGTTTCTGTTGTTTGTCCCCGTGGGGGTGGGGGTTATGCATCTATCATTATAGTCGGTTCCTCGTTTCTACCCCTTTCTTGCCCACCCTCCACCTTCCCCCTATGTGCATGGTGGTATCACTACTGTGCCTGAGGGGTTTCTCTGTCCTGGATTCTGTGTGTCAAGAACTCTTATCTGCACCAGAGTACATGATCTGGTCTAGCCAGATTTGTAAGGTAGAACTGGAGTCATGAAAGTTGGGGTGGGGGTGGGGGGTAAGCATTGAAGAATTAGAGGAATGTTGTGTGTTCTGCTGCACCCTGGCTGTCTCGTTCTTTCCTTGCGACCCTTCTGTGAGGAAATGTCCTGTTGTCTACAGATTGGCTTTGGGTCTCCACTCCAACCCCCACCATTTGCATGGATGTATTTGTTTGTTTGAGGTCTTCTGATGACTGATACCTGATCTCGTTGACACCTCTTGATTACACAGGCTGGTGTGCTTCTTCCACGTGGGCTTTGTTGCTTCCCTACTAGATGGCTGCTTGTCTAACTTCAAGTCTTTAAGACCCTAGAAGCTTTATCTTGAAATAAGAGGGCACCATCAGCTTTCTTCACATTTGTTTATGTACCCTTTTTGATGTCAGTGAGCATGTCTGGAAGGTGAGCATCACACAACGCCAGATTATTAAAACAAAGGGAGTACTTGAGTAGAGGCCAATGCTCATCTGCTGCCTTAATACTTAACATTTAAATATATGTACATAGATCTACATCTCTATCATTATATATTAACATATTTACATATGTGCATGCCTATATTTATACCTCTATAACTGTCTATTGCCTCCTAATTCTTTCC